TTCGATACTCTGTAGAACCGAAGCATTTCGGTCGGTACCATAAAAGAACCGAAGTTTGGTACCCAGCCCTAAGCAGAGCTACGAGCCGATTTACCAGAACCTTGATCACTGCCCATGTGGAAACAAGGGAGTTCTTCTTCTTCTTCTGCCAGATTGACGGGTCTGACCAGTGGTTTTTAGACGTAGAGTTTGAGCAGGTAGATCGCATCAGAGCGTGGGGTCACACAGTGTGAGAACAACGTGGTGAGCTGGGAACTTTTAAACCCTGCGGTTTCAACATACAGTGTGATGAAACCGACGAGAAATAAAATATTACCCCTTGCAATGCACTGGCAGACCACCAGGGGTGTGCGTACACCCGGTTGGGAAACGCTGCTGTAATCTGTCCTGTTCTTCCCTCCATCTGCAGCAGTAAGCTGCTGTGGGAGTTGCGTCAGGAAGCTGCAGCCTGCGTAGGTCTCCTCTGCACCGTGCTCAGCTATGAGGCGGAGCGCATCTTCAAGTGGCTTTTCCTCAAGTTTAACTCCAGCAGTCGGGATGAGGTGAAGCTGCTGTACCTGGTGGCGGCGCAGCGCACTCTGGAGGCCGCCGGGGAGAGGAAGGCCTTCTCTCATATCATGCAGGTGAGCTGATGCTGATGGTCAGAACTCCTCCTTCCTCCAAGGATCCAGACATGGACTCGATGTCTTCTGTGTTTCAGCTGGTGATGAACAACCTGCAGTCCATCCTGGAGAACGTGGACACCCCAGAGCTGCTGTGTCAGAGCGTCAGGTGCATCCTCCAGGTAGCCCGCTGCTACCCACACGTCTTCAGCACCAACTTCAGGGTGAGCCTTTCAGCTTCATTTAAATCACTGACTGTGTCCCTCTGTCCATCATTTACTGTCCCTCTGTCCATGGTTGACTGTGTCCCTCTGTCCGTCATTTACTGTCCCTCTGTCCATCATTCCCTGTGTCCCTCTGTCCGTCTCTGACTGTGTCCCTCTGTCCATCATTNCCTGTGTCCCTCTGTCCGTCTCTGACTGTGTCCCTCTGTCCATGGTTGACTGTGTCCCTCTGTCCATCATTGACTGCGTCCCTCTGTCCATCATTGACTGTGTCCCTCTGTCCATCATTGACTGTGTCCCTCTGTCCATCATTGACTGTGTCCCTCTGTCCGTCTCTGACTGTGTCCCTCTGTCCGTCTCTGACTGTGTCCCTCTGTCCGTCTCTGACTGTGTCCCTCTGTCCATCATTGACTGCGTCCCTCTGTCCATGGTTGACTGTGTCCCTCTGTCCGTCATTGACTGTGTCCCTCTGTCCATCATTGACTGCGTCCCTCTGTCCATGGTTGACTGTGTCCCTCTGTCCGTCATTGACTGTGTCCCT